GCTGCTCCAGGAGGGCATGTACCGCTCAGATCTGCGCTGGGTGGGACATGCAGCAGCTGGGGCTGCATGGGGATCTTCTTGGCAGGGCCTGGGCTTGGAGCAGGCACAAGCAGCACTGGGAGGATGCTGCATCCACCCCAAATTTCGCTGCCACTCCACTCCCAGTGCCACTGCCACCACACCAGCTGCCCAAAGCAGCACCAGCTCAACACTCTGCCTTCACACGTGCCAAGAAGAGCTGGGGCTGCGCTGAGAAGCTGGTGGCGCTGGGAGTGGAACAGTGGTGAAATTTGGGGTGGATGCAGCCTGCCCCTGCCCTTGTCCCCTCCTTCACCGCAGGGGGCGTTGATCTGCCACCCCTCCATGCCCCTTCCCTCCCCACTCCCCTTCCACCACACCAGACATACCAGCTGGAGGCAGCTCTCCATGCTACCAGCTCTGCTCCTCACTGCCTGAGTGCTACGCTGCAGCTGCGCACAGCACAGACATTTATTGGCCAAATTATTGGCCCCATCGGGCCGATATCCAATACAGCGAGTTTTCTTTACTGATCCAATACAGCCAGTATATCAGTACTGATCCGAAATCAGACCACTGTATCAGTACACCTCGACATCCAATACAACTTTTACCAGACAATTTAAAATTTGGAATTTAACACACACAACATATTGATACATCAATTCCAATACATGGTAATTTTCTACCTGAATGTTGCTCAAAATCAGGAATAACGTAAAAAAATTAAATTACTATTTTCAACACAGCTTGCAGTACCAAGAAATTAACCACTACTTTAAGTGGTTCTGATAAGCTTCCCTGCTCACTATGTTATAAATAAATGGTCAAGCATTTAAAGCTTTTATCTGAATATGACACTGATGATAAACTGAAGGAAGACACATCTACCCACTTTCATGACTCTTCAACACTTTAATATGATCTTCTCTGGCAAAATAATTGAGCACTAAATTGCAGCATAAATGGGTAAACAAAAGGTATTGTACCTTTGAATCAGCCTGGTTATGTGGCGCAGTTTCAAGTTCCACTTGTTACAGAGGTAATGACTTAATCTCCAAACAAGATGCCACCAGTTTGAATATTTGTACCAGCATTAGCTGTTCTAAGATTAAACAGCCACTGACCCCCTTCCTCCCCCCCACCCAAAGAACAAGTAACTGGAATACAAAAAAGAAGGAACAAAAACAGTGACATGTTGTTACATATTAAGTTCTGTATTTCCATGTATGGAATACAGTAAAAGCAATTAGTCCATTGTAATAAATATAGAAAGCGTCTGAAATTACCCTACGTTGTAAACATTATGGTGAATTAATCCCCTTTCACCAGTGGACAGAATGGCATAGCAAATTAGAAAAGCCCTGGGCCAATAAGGAAAATTGCCAATGAAGCTAATTATACCTTGAATTATTAGAGAAACAGGTAATTAAATCATCCCTCCCAGACGAGAAAGGACAGACATTATCTCAAATGAAATGTTGTATTCATTTATTTATTGACAATGTGTTTTGCATAATTACAAAATTGCAAGTGTTGTCAAAATCTATAGGACAACTTGTTTCACGTCCATTACCTCACATTTGTAATTGCAAATGGTACTGAGTTACTGACAAAACAGCCACTATTCAATAAAGGGTATTTTTCTTCAAATATTAGGCAGAGAAAGGTTCCTTACCTTAAAATATGCAATCAAACATTTACAATACTTGGTGTTTCACAGGTGACAGAATACAGAAAAAGAGGGGAATTGGGCATGCATTTAAATCACCTTTTATTTCAGTGAATGCATATAAAAAGCAACTCAATAATGCAGATGTCCAATTCTGAATGTGGCGGTAGGGGATGGATGGATAGTCTACCACCAAAGAGGCAAGAACAGAAAATGTACAACTTTAGGCATCCTCCTCCATAGCCACCTCCTCTTGTAGCTTCTGTACCATTTTGTCCTCCAACTGTTTTGCTTTGCCTTCAGAAATAAACAAACACAAGATAATTTTAAAATGTGGGTATAACTTCTCACAGCCCAGCTACTATGTGGGCAAAGCCTCCCTGGGCTGTAGGCTGCAAACCCCTGGTCTAATACAAGGGACAGATACTTGTTATACAACTTTATCACCACCTGTACATATTGACAAATAGTTTTAATAAAAAGCAGAGCAGTTACTATTTATATGCAATAACTAAAACTAACCTAATTTTTGTATAATGCACTCAGCACCACAATGGAGATCTGTTACCCCTTGGTAATATAAACCAGAACTTCACATAATAGCAGAAAGAAGAGTATCATCTTTAAAAGATAAGCTGGTTCCTAGACCATGCCCAGAAAAATATTTTTAAATTCTCAGAAACACTGAGTTTGAGGCCTAATGGCAATGCTCAGCACCATCGTAATGTTAAAAAAATCCAGGATTGATTACTAATCCTGCATTCTTTTGCTAGCAGGGCTGGGAGCACTGAAGCAACACCACAATAAGCCCTTGGGAAAAGGGAATACTACACATTATTATGCCACACTCCTTTGTTAAAAGAAACAGAACTGGGAGACCACTGCTTGCTCCTTCAGATCTAACAGAATTCTTTCCCTAATAAAAAAGACCTCAAGGGTGGATGAAATAGAGTTAAAAAAAAAAAGATTAACATGGGCAAAACCATGTTTCCTGTTCATACACGTATTAAACTACACACTGCAAGCAAGCTGCAAGGCAGAAGTCAATGTGCTCTAATGAACAGTGTAACATATAACCATTTCAAACAAGGAAATGTAAAGTAATGCTATTTTTTTTTTAATTTGTCACATGAACATGCAATAAGATTAATTTACCAACAGCTTTTATCAAGCAATATTTGACGAGTTATTTTCAGCTACTCTCCATTTTATATATGCATCCCAAATAACCTTGGGTTTACACTTGCTTAGCTACCCAATTTGCACACAGCTACGTGGACAAAAAGGAGCTCATTTGAAAATGTGCCCCACACTCAACGTTTAAAAAAATAGCAGCTCACTAGAACCACCTTATATAATACAATTTACCAGCACTGTTTAAGACATATAACTGTTTATAGTAAGGAATTAGGATCAAAAGAAAAATATTTGCAAGTCAATTTGAAAAAAAAAGTTTTACTTACAAATAGGGAGTACAAATTTCTTATCTGTCCAACTTTCAGCTATAGTTTGGTTTCATTGTCTACTAGTTTAACTACAACACATTGGGACATACAACTTCAATAAACTATTTATCTGAATCCAAGATTACCCTGAATTTAAGACAATACCCCAATAATTATATTCTATACATGGGAAATTTATTTTTTTTTTATAATTTCTATGTATAGAATCTAATTATTGGAATCTAATCATCTTAAATTTATCTCCCCACCGCTACCTTGGGGAAAGCAATAGTAGAGGACAGGCAGTGGGGGATGCAGGGGCTGGTCAAGCAACTTTTCCTTTGCTGCCTTCCCTGCCACCCACTTGCCACCCCCCTACCCCCCACCCCCACGTCTCCAACACACACACACAGCCTAGGGCCCTCTGCAGCCTCACAATTTTTTTTTTTGGTGTGGGCATACAGCAAAATGATGCAAGGTGCCCATCTGATAGTGAACTAATGTAAGAGCAGCACAGGGCAAAAAAGTAATGATTACATCCTAGGGAATTATGCACCCATACAAAGTTGTACATAAAAGGTATGACCACACATAACCACATAATTTTCTATAATTTAACCACAGCAGGCTCTGTGCCTTCACCTCCGTGGGGTTCCCAGCACTCCATCTGGAAACCCCATGATGTAGAAGCACAGAGCTGTGCTACTGGATAGCTGGGTAAGTGGGAAGGAGAGTTCCTGCCTGCAGGGGAGTGGGTGGGGGTGGCGCAGCACACACATGAGGTTTGGGGGTAGGCATGGGGGTGTGTGGGTGGGTGTGGGTCACACGTTATTAGGCTGGCCCGCTCCTTGCCTACACATGGGGTTTCCAGCACTCCAGCAGGAAGCCATATGTGGAGGCAAGCAGGAGCCTGCCCAGCCCAATGGCATGCAATTCTGTGCCTCCATGTGCAGCTTCCTGTTGGAGCACTGGAAGTCCCACACAGAGGGCCAGCCCGCCCTGATGGCATGTGGACTAAGAGCCATGCGCCACTGGGCTGGGCAGGAAGCCACACATGGAGGCATGGAGTCATGCACCACTGGGCCAGGCAGGCTCCTGCTTGCCTCCACATGTGGCTTCCCGCTGGAGTGCTGGAAGCCCCATATCGAGGCACAGAGCTCATCCAGCCCAAAGGTGCACAGCTCCCGTTCCATTCGCCATCAGGCCGGGCTGGCTGGCTCCATGCCTCCATGTAGATCTTTTAGCACTCCAGCAGAAACCTGCACATGAAGGCAGAGAGTCTACCCAGCCCAATGGTGCACAGCTCCTGGATGAAGTGTCACAAGCCTCATGTGCTGGCATGGAGCCAGCCCAGTATGGTTCAAAGGCATGCACTAGCGGGCTGGGCCAGCTCCATGCCAGCACACACAGGCCGTGGGATTCACCCACAGGCAAGCACCACCAGGGGCTCTGCCTGCCACGGCCATGAGCACCCCAAGGGCCTGCTGCTACCCACACCTACCCACAAACCCCCTATACCTCCCATCCCCCCAACAAACCCCTCCATACCCCCCCAGACTTGCCCACACTCTTCACAAACCCCAGATACTACCGTATCACACACTCCCCAAGAATCCCACATCTACACACACACACACCCTACGAATATTCCTTCACAACCCCCCGCAAACACCATACACCCACCTTCACAAATGCCTCCTACACACCCCCCCCCCACACCTAACCCTAACCATACAAAGTACCTGCACATATTTCTAAAGGTTATATTTAGTTTAACTTGTAAAAAAAAAAAAGTTATTTTGCATAATTTTGAGTTTTTCTGCACATAATTGGGGTGTAAATGATATATGGTAAGGAGGAAAGTTGGCTGCTGTGGTTTAATGACTGCTTTCTGTATGCAAAAAGCTAAACTGATCTACAGGTTTAGGAAAACTATAGATCTGGGAAAGCAGTTTGATTAGTTTATATATCTTTCTGAATTGGGAAATCACTAGATTCCTAAAGCAATTTCTTTCAATAAAAATATATATAAAATGGTGATGGGATCCAAAACTTTTGAATGTAGAACCTCCCAGCAGCGGTTTTCCCAGTCAGGAACATGCAGATCAAGTATGAAGGGGCCATAAACACTCCTGCCTCCCTCTGTCTCCAGAAGGATCATTAAATAATGAATATTGCTCATAGAATTATACACAAACCACTCTGCCAGCAAACCGATAAAACCAGCTCTTACCTGCATGAGGAGCACGGAGAAGGTGGATGTTTTGCTTGACTTCCTTGATATCTTGCACTTTCTGCAACTCTTTGCTCTTTTTCAACCTATAGGAAAATGAGTTTGTTGTTTATTAGATTATCTGCTAAATGAAAAGTATGTTTTATAATAATTTGTATACATGGCATGTTTTGAATTTTAGCAAAACTTTATATTTCATCTTTTAGGACTTTATGGGAAACAAACGAGAGAGAGAATCAACAAAACAACAGGGTTTCTACCCTCTGCCAAAGTTTCAGAATACAGCTTCTACTGGACAGTCAACATTATGCAGACTTGTTTGTCCCATTTCAAACTAACGTGTGACAAAAGACCTTGTTCTACATTTGTGTGTAGGAAGCAATTACCTATTTACATTTTTTAAGCATCATTTCTTTCAAGTAAGAGAATTTTTTTCACTTAACACCTGTTCAATACAACATGGCCTGGATCTCTCAGTACTACTGCAAAAAATCTTCATCCTACTCACCTGTTCATGATAAATTTAGCTTGGCGTTTTTGTTTGATCTCTTCCACTCTCTTCATTGCATCAACTACAACAAAGCAAAAACATTTCTAGACATATTTTACCTGCATATGGTTTGATAATTCATTATTAAAACCATGAAATAATTTGAACCAAACTCTATTTAAAGAGTTTTTATGGTAATGTAATATATGCAGCCCCAAGAATGGAAACCATATCTAATGCCGTTTGTGCACAAGGAAAGAAGTTGTGTCTTCTACTGGACATGGCCATAATTAAAAGCCAGTTTGATGCTCCTTATTATTCTCCAACTACCTTTTACAATAAGTTTAAACAGAACTCCTTACCCACCGTTCCACCAGTCCCTCTCAAAAATTTGGTCATGTTAAAAAAAATCATAAAATGAAAATCCTTGATATAAAGGAATATTAGCAATTGGAGGCACTGAACAATTTTTTTAACAAAATTCATTTCTATTTCTTCTATTTTATGAACAAGAATGTTTGCTTATACTTACGGAGATTTATAAAAGACTGATTTAGACCCACGTTGATTGACAGTGCTATAACTAAAGTAGGCAGGGCAGGCATAGCAATAAACTCTACAGGACAAACATGCTGTCATATTAACCTATTACTTTTTATTGTAAACATGCAAAGACAACTAAAGCATCATGCTGAGATATTTATACATGTAACGAATTAACGGAACAGTAATAACTCCTTTTCTGAAAGCAGAAAAATCAATAATCCCTTTATACTGGGAGTGGAAATTGCATGGCAAAAAAATTTGCTACTTATTCAAAAACCAAGCATTATTTAGTAGTATAGATGCACAATTTAAAAAAAAACCTTTAATTTGGAGACTGAAGGTTCCTATTACTTGCCAAAAACTAATTATAAGTATGTGATCAAGGTTTCAAGAAACCTTCTGAAAACTATGCATGGAAAGAACAACTCTTTTGTACCTGCCTTAAAGAAAAAGTTGGCATTTCTAAAATGACTTACCAGTCTTGCTCCACAGCTCTCTCTGGTATTTGACTGGTTCGTTTCTACGTTTTTCAAACTCAAATGAATTATCCTGAATTAAAGGAGATAAGTTTACACAGCTTGTATTTAGAAGCATTAGATGGATGATACACAGACCTCTACACATTGCACGTTGCACAATTACCTCAAGACCTGCCACACGTGCAAAATAAAAAGTTCCAATCAGCTATAAAGTCAGACCTCAAAAATATGTACTAACTTTAAAGCTTGATAGCAACCAGCTATAATTTGCACGTGTAGCAGGGCCTCCCTTGTGGCTGTGAAACCCCAACAGCTGACAGGGCTCCCAGCCACAGGGGTGCACCATGTACAGCATGAAACACCCAAGACCTGAGGATCTCGGCTGCTGTGATCCCAAAGCCTTGGGGGTGCATAAAACACCCAGGGCCACATGCACAGCTGGGACTAAGCGTCCCTGCACCTGAACAGAGAGTTTCTCCTAGGAGAGGGAAACGAACATGTTCTCCTCCAGGAGAAGCCACAGCAGAGTCCAGCAGATCTCAGGGTGCTTTGCTCCTGAACCACCTCCTTCCCCCCAACCACCACCACGAGACTCTGCTATTTGGGCTGGACTCTACTGCTCCCGTTGAGCAGAAAACAGAGTATGCCCCCTTCACAATCCCCTATATTGTCTACAGGCAGACAAACTGACCCTGAGCAGTCTGGGTCAGCCAATCAGGGCTGCTCTAGGCGCTAGTGCCACTTGTCCCCAAGCAGATTGAGGGAGCTTACAGAGCATGCTTACATGTGTGCACAGCAGCTCCCTGACTGCAGTGTCAGCACTGTAAACTCTTGGCTCTTCAGGGGCTCAGTATTCAAATGTATGTGCAGGGGTAAAGGGCTACAAGACACCTCTGGCTGGGCAGTGGGGAATAGTGGAAGGAGATTGGAAATATAGAAAGAGGAGATAGACAATTGTAGATGGATTGACTCCTGGAGGGAGATTTCTTCCCAACTCAACTGAGTAGTAGTTGCTTTATACCCTGAACAGAAAAGTCCAAAGGCTGCCTCAGCCTAATGCCTATCGGGCACTTCATTTGGGCATACCAACTCCTAGAGCTGATGGCCCAAGACAAGTCTGTTCAGGTTTTCCTTCTACCAGAAAAACAAACCCAGGAGAATTCTTCCAGATTATCTGAATGTATCTACGCAAATAGACTATATCCACCAAGGCAGTGCACGGACACTTACCCTCACAGTGGACTGTCTAAAGACACATAGAGAACCACTACCAAAGTACTTCCTGGGCTTTCATCCTCTCACTTTCCATTCTTGTATGAGAAGACAAATGCCCAAACACCACTTCTGTATGTTCTTACACAAGCAACCATCATTCACAGTTTTTGCTAAGAAATCTTCCCAAGAATCAGTTTTGAAAAATGGAGGCTGAAGAAACAATGTTTTTATTCTGTGCGCTGAAACTGCAGTGCTAAGCTGTAAATATAACAGCAATCCTTTAAACTCCGCTCTATCTCAACATCTTCATTTGATTAAGTACCTCAGCAGCAGGAAAAAAGAATGCAGTGCTAAAGGCTAAGCCATTGTGTCCTGGCACTTGCTCTCTCGCTCAGTACCAAACAATCTAAGAGACTAGCGCACGCGCGCGCACACACACACACACACACACACACACACACACTATTTGTATGAGAGAAACACAGGAAGCCTATAGGCACAGACAGAAGTGATAATTTTTGCCCGATCTGGCCCCTGAAAGTGCTCTACAAATAGAAGTGCATGGCTGGAGAGTGCTTCAAAGATAGCTGATCCTGCAAAAATCTGAACCCTCACTGCATAAGGTTCAGGCAAAAATGCTCTAAAATGGAGCACCCTCAGTAACTTCTGTCTGCACTGCCTCCCAGCCCCAGCACTATTTTCACAATGGGAGGAGGGTAAGAGCAGATGGCATTTGGTCTGGGATTTCTTCAGCCAGTGCTGGAGGGTGAGGCAAGTGGCAAGTGGGGGGGGGGGGGGGGGGG